TGTTATGTGTCTATGTAAGACCACATTGATACCCATTCTGTATGCTGTATGGTGTAAATGAGACTATCTGCCATCTTTAACCTGTCCGCCAAACGTGGATTAGAGCAAACCTTCTAATCAAATCTTCCAGTCCTCGTATAGTCCAGGAGGGGACTGTCATAGACTGTCTATGGTGATGATGATAATGAGTAGAAAGTGGACTTGACTTCAAAAAAACATCTAACTTTTTCTATACCTATTTTGGATTCTACTTACAAAATGCTGAATTCTACCTCCTTTCATCAAAGCTGTTATTAACTTATCTTTGAATGGTTAATTAAAAAGGCTTGTATCATAAATATTGCACAGCATTTATCAATATAAGTTGCAATCTTCGTAAACAATCTAATATTGGTCTTATCTATGTTTAATTAATTTATTGTTGTCAATCATTTTGACTGAGTAATCAAGTAAATGAAAAACATAAATATACACATACAATAATGTCACGCCTTTTAATTCCCGCAGAGATAGACAGAGATGCATATATCAAACTTGTTATATTATAAATCGTAACTGTAACTTTGCTGGACATCTGGCTGCCATGCAACGCATAGCGGGTTTGACTCACGCAAGATCCGAAGCAACTCTTTGTGTCCACAAATTGTTGTTTCGGGTCTGGGTGTCATGAGATATTGTAAGTTTGTATATGCACCCACAACATGGAAGAAAATCCTAGCCAGAGACAAGACTGTATTAAAAAAAGGGGGTAATTCTATGGCTCAATTGCAGACTCTGATACTATTACAAGACTATTAAAAATAACCATAATATTATATACAGCACAAAGAACTATAAAGGTGTGTTGATAATAGAATTTTGTAGTTAACAATAAAACCTTTTTTAACATAAACATAAACAATATGTGTGAAAAATAATAAATTAATACCGTATTATCTATGCACAGATATGAAATTCACTAAAAAAAATTGTAAACAACAAAAATTCATAATAATGACGCAATGACAAGAAATAGTGTCAGATAACAAACAATATTATATACAAAGTTATATTTACAGCTGTAACATTTTTATAACAACACATTTATATGTAAAACGTGTTATATTTAACTGCAAACATAAGTTTGTAAACCAGTATGGGGATAATGACATTGTTTCTTTGTTATTATTACAGTTTTATTTAACTGAATACTATTTCGAAGTAATTTTTAAAGCTTTTTGTAACATTTATGAAAAATATTGAATTTTTACAAGATACTTAATGTTGTCTTTCTATCTTACTGTAACAAGTTCACCCCATAATGAGACTGATAACACTACTACCAAAAAAATGGGTGTCATGTGGAAAATATGTTTAAGAGGCACTTATTAATTGCGCCTACCCCTTTGGCAGATGAAAGGCCAGATAGTAATTCAAAAAAAATATTATTTTGCAGGGAAACCTGTTTTATTGAACCCTGTTTTAACTATAATTCAGTCTCAATTCTGGATTGGAGAATGAATCATTGTTTGGTCTAGACTCTACAGATTGTGTCTGGTTCTCATTCAGGTAGGCAGGAGACACTGAAATGGTAAATGATCTGTTGCTTTATATGTTGATACAATTATCATACCCAATATTTGTTCATGCAAAAAAAAAACTTTGTAACTGCTTGGAGGTAGTTCTTATTTATAAAAAAACTAAATTCTTAATAAACTCGCTGAGAAATTGGCACCCATTTAATGCATGGCATGGCATGATAGAACTGATATCAGAGAAGTTGGGAATTAACAATCATACTGACAGGGGAGGTTGTTAGTTAGTAATATATATTTTTTACTGATTGAAGGTACTTTTATAGTTTTAATTAACTTGATAGTAACTGGGAAAATTAATCAGTCTAACAAAGCGACAAACTAGAATAGAACTTCTATAGATACCTTAGTTAATGAAAGTACAGTAAAATGGGGTGAATAGGGTTTCAGCGGCGAAAAGGGACAGAAGAGGGGTGAATAGATATAAGGAAATTCTTCATAGTATCGATTCACCCCTCTTCTGTCTCTATTCACCACACAATCCCTATTCACCCCATTTTACGGTAATGAATTCTAATAAATCTAATAAGTTATATTTTATTTAAGAAGGAGGTAGTCATATTTTTTGTTAGTTACCTACCCCTTAACCCGTTGAAATCCACCCCCTAAATTTGGTCATACAAAAGTAGTCTCTAAATATTACAAATAAGGTCTATAATGTAATGTAATATTAGTGGAAAGCGGTCACCGGTGACCGCTTGGTAATTTATGGGTTAAACGATATGTATGTGCATTATTAATAAAACTGTCCAACAACATTGGAAAATGAAACTCTATTTTGCATAAAAAAATGTTCAATGAAAACTTTATACTCATAATTCATAGAACATTCATCTAATTACCCACCTTTAAAATAAAAAGACAATGAAAAGTAACTCTTATTCATGTACGTTTTTAAGGAAGAGAAATTATCGAATGACTTCTGCCGCCTGGGTGAGGCGGGAGTCAGTGTCAGACTCTTACAAACTAAAAACCACCGCTCGGAGCCGGAGCCCCAGTAATCTTTTATGTTCTCTGCGGCTCAGACCTATTGGGCCCCATTCGTCGTGGTCTGGTGGCTCTTTGAGGCGAAAGAGGAAAATGATGCGCTGTACACTCGGGATATAAATAGAGAAATCTTTGTGGAACATTTTTGTAATCTACTACATCCTTCTATTATTTTGTTTTCAGCCATGTTCTTTCCACTGCAGGGAGAAGACATTCCTATCCACTATCATTCCTCTAAATTCTATTCTCCGATATGTGGGTATAGGAGATTTTTTTTTTTTTAATGATGCGGAAGGGAGTGTCAGACTCTTACTGACTAAAAACCACCCCGTTCCTTCTCGTGCACGTCGAGCCGGAGCCCCGGTTACCCGTTAGGTTCTCCGCGATGGGTATAGGAGAATAGGTGGATATCAATTTCTGCAAATTGCTTGCTCAAAGCGGGTTGGTGATTTCAAACTTGTAATTACAATTTCTAAGCCCAGGTTTCATTAGGATGTTTTCCTTCACCATTTGTCAGTGGTGTCTTAATAATATAAAGTACATATAACTCAGAAAAAATCACATTTGTACTTGCCGTTGGTAGGTTTCAAACCCTGACCTCATGCATGAGAATTGCGTCTTAAGGCTCCAGGCCACCACAACATTAAACTATTACTTATTTAAAATAATGTAGGTAGTATTATCAATAAATGATTTTTCAAAAAGTGACGCTGATTATAATGGAGGCAATGTCAAATATGGCCTGATCTGTTTTAAAAGAAACCAGGTTACCTTATCAAAATATTAAAGTACTAATTAAAAATTAATTACATTTACTTTAAATAATATTTCAAGTTTGGTCATAAACTCAGACAACTGCTTGTCTCGACTGAAAAGAAAGCAACTAGCGTCTACATAAACCCATTTTTAGGGAAAAAAGAAATAGAGTTAGCATGTCACAGGATGTGCAACTCTCCAAAGTCCCAAAAGCACGTCATCTCATCTGATTAAAGCCGTATCGGCTGATTGTAGATCTGAGTATATAAAAAAAAAAAAAAAAAAGTTTGGTTACAGCAGGGTCAACAAAATAGCTATAAAGAGGGAAAAAAAAAATTAGGTTTTTTTTTATTTTAATTTTTATATGCATAAAACAGAAAAAAAAAATTGAATTTTTTTTTTATAGACACAATTAAAGAACAATAGGTTGCGGTCACTGGTGACCACTTGGTGTTTGACAGTTTAAAAAGTTGGTATTTAAGTTTTAAGTTATTGTAAGGTTCCAAGTATTTTTTTAAATGGGATGAGAATGGCAGTTTTGTGTAAGTACCTACTGTATTCAATAAAAGAGAAAGGAGGTAGAAGAGTTTTAAATTAAGAATTAAAAATTAAGAATTTGTTTTTTTAATACTAAAGCCAAGGGCACTTCTCCAACAGCTTAAGATAAAAACAAAACACTACCTAATCTAACTCCAAAAGATAAAAATCATTGCCAAAATATTTACTTTTAAAAATTGCATCATTGTTTCTCAATAACGGGTAACGTAAATGTAAAAGTACTCTGAGTCAGCCACTCGTAAATACACATCGAAATTAAGTCGAAATTTAAATAGATATCATACATATTCTCATAACAAACACGAAAACAACGCAATCTACTAATTTCACGGTCAAGACTAGCAATAAAAAAAATAAACATAGCACAGAGCAGCGAAACAAAGGCTGCTCGTGACACTTCCACAAAAAAAATCAATGTTAGGCGGTGGTAAAACAATTACTCTGCCTATTCCATATTGAACCTAATTAATTACTTTTCCTAAATATTTGTTAAAAACAACATTGCGTAAGACACGTCCCTTAGAAATAAAGCGCAAATTCTTGACGTAAGAAATAAACATACGCGATCCTTACCTAGAACGAATTCCCAGGCATCACAGCCCAGAGAGCGTTCAGGGACGATTTCTAAATCCAACATCGTGCACAAAACACTAAACACAATATAAACTAACTAACTTTCACTTTAAAAAAACGTTTTTAACGCTAAAATTCGCTATTACGCTGCCTTTTCTTTGTTTGCCAACTTTAGTTTTCAACCATTTTGTATTTGTCAGAGGAACTGTCATTACAAACAGCTGATTGTATTTTGCCAGGACCGAACTGAAACGGTTTGTTTTTCCCAATAAGAAACAGTTACCACTTCGTATTATATTCCACTAATTCTTAATTTCATTATAAAATAATTAGCAAATATTTTTTTTTGTTGATTGATTTTGGTTCTACAACAAAATTATATGGAATTTATCGCCTTTGATCATGTTACATAAGTATTTATTGTTATATATAAATCTTCGAAAAATATAAAGCTTTATTTCTCTCCGGAGACGAATAATTGTTTTCGTAAACAAACAGTCCGAGGTGCAAGTACGTACTAGTTTATCCGCATTTAAAATTCAGCCCTGGTATAATCGAATGACGCATGCGTACCAATCATGACAGCAGAAATAATATTGCGAGCTCTGTTTTATGTGTATCTCTTTCTAACATAAGCAAATTATAACTCTCCATCTCTATCCTACCAACAGTTTACTTGCCATCTCTTTTTATATCGGTGAAACTATATATTTTCGTCTCTTTCTGTCGGACTTGTTATTGATAATTGGGTAGATGATGTGTCCTATGCGAATTGGTATTTTTTTCAGTTCCATGGCGCGCTTTTATTGTATTATTTACAAAATGATAGAAGAAAGCGAGTGTTGTATAATAAAAAATATTTATCGACGTGGTTAAAAATGCATTATTTATGTCTTAGTATGCGCGTCCCTGAATCACTGTTCCTAGGACGACCTAGACAGCACGTCTAGGTCTAAAATAACATTCTAGAACTAAATTGATGTGTATTTATCGATGTTACTGATACAAATTGTAAAGCAACAAGCTTTTGCTCGGTTTCCCGCCATTCTCAAATAACCTTGGAGCGATCTCTGACGCCCACTCACCGACGTAATAATTACACAATAACATGTTTATTTACTTCGAAATAGAAATCACGTATTTTTGCATAAACGAGCGTCAGGGGACTTTGAACTGATGTTTTAGTTTCCCTTTAATTTACGTGAAGTAGGTAGAGCGACATTGACCTATATTTTGGCTATATGAGTATTTACCCGCGTTAGCATATAGGTGCCTACTTAACGTTGTGTCGTTCAGGGACAAAATTGCGACGGAAAATTATTTAATTATTCACATTGTACCTACTCTTTTCTTTCTACAGCGTAGTTGGCTATATCAATGCACTGGTAACAAGACTTACAGGCAATTATTTGCATTTCTATTGCAGAATACAGTTTGCATAAGTACCTAGCTGCCTAAGTATGTACCTACATAGACACCTCATGTTGTACCTACCTGTTATATGTATGTATTTGCAGACACATTTCTATATTTAACTGTCTACCTTCTTACTGATTTATATTCACGGTGGAATATTTTAAATATTATTTCAAACAAGATAAACTGAACTTAACGTCGCGTAGTCAGCGTCTTTATAATTAAACTTCAAATAGGAGTCGAGACAATGCTACATATACTTGAGTGCTTACCTAATCAGGCGCCTATGATGAGGACTCCTGACCTGGTCTATTTAAAGGACCTCTAACTCCCATGTATCTTTATCTTCCATCTATATTTGACTACTGGGCTGGGACTGGGAGGTTCTAGTGAGGTAAAAACCTCACACTCCATAAAAGGCGCCCCTTGAAAGACCCCAGGTCATCAAAAAATAGTACTTAAGTACTTAAAGTAAAGTCTAGCTAGTTGCTTCTGGCTTAATGTCAAAGTGTAGTTGCTTGTCGCGGAGAACCTAACGGGTAACCGGGGCTCCGGCTCGACGTGCAGGAGAACGAATGCAGTGGTTTTTAGTCAGTAAGAGTCTGACATTCGATGATTTTCCCCCTAAAAAAACATTGTAGTTGCTTCTAGTCAATTAGTTGTGAACGCGACTGCTGTGAGGGTTCATTTCCGAGCCGAACAGAGTATGTATGGTTTTTTGCTTCAGTATTTCTAAAATTCTCAGCAGATACTTAGGTAGTTAGGCAGTTTGGAATGGCATCCGGTTTATGGCAATATCTCAATGCTCATTCATAGGAATGGGGCTCAGGGCTTATACTATAACTTTCGGAGAATAAAATGCGCCATAATGTGGTACGCAGGGCCGTCACACTTACAGCCATTGACAGCTTTAAAAATCGGACCGTCAGCTACATCTAGTTTTCGAACCTGAAATTAAATGTTGTCAAAACTTTTTTTTTTTGTTGTCAAAACTAATATTTTCAGTGGCCACACAGTTCCAACCAAGGTTGCAACATTATTTCAAAATTTAGGGTTTAAATAATATTTTTTGGAAATAGTACAATAACATTATACACATTTATTTAATACTATATTGCAATTTTCACAAAATAATTCCTTAAACTTAGATCAAATGACAGTTATGCTGGCATAATCGTTCAAAGATGACGGCCTTTTTACTAATAAAGAGATTAAAAAGATAGAAGTGATGGATGACAAACTGAACTGTATGAAGTGACTGCGTCAGGTTTTTTTTTCCACAAGCATTAACCTAAGAGCCTGTGAACCCCAGGTCTAGGCCACCGTTTTTATTATATAAAAACTAATAT